AGTGACGAAGCTGTTGTCGGCTGTGTGCCTCCTACGGTCCCCTGCCGCCGCCGCCGGCTTCAACGGACGCGGACAGAATGCCGCTGCCATTACCGCCGACCCGGTGAGTTCTCCTCCCGCTGCCGGTGGCCGTCGCGACTCCGCTCCGGCCCCTAGCACCACCACCACTGCTGCCGCCGAGGCCGTGCGAGGAGGAGCGCTGCTCTCGGAACATGGGCAAGGCGCCGGCCCCGGGAGAACCGAGGTCCTCGCCCGGCATCTGGTGCACTGCGTGAAACATTGCTGCTGTTGCTCTTTCGGCCCTGCACAAAAACTAGAGATGAAGAAAAGATTGAACTCACTTGTGAGGGAAACCAAGAGGAAAACAAGGTCCCTGCACCTTCCCGCGTGCCCAGAACACGGCGGGACAGAGTCAAGTCAGCTTGAGGCCGTCGTACAGGTCGCGCCACGCAGCCTTGCTGAAGCTTTGCGTTGTCAAACAATGGCGAGGGGGGGCACAACAGATGTGATTTTCATCCACCCTACCCCTCTTCTTTGCGTTGCCACACTGCATTTGTCAGTTGTTTGCTCTGCTCTCGCTCTCTCTGGCTCGTGGGTCGGTTCGCGGGCATGGCGTGTGTGAAGGAAATCGCGCAGTGCGCAGCTACGATGAGCATACCTTGCTTCAAGGAGATGGCGGAAGGGATAGATCCTTCCGTAGTGAACGTGCTGGCCTTGGTTGGCGGCCTGGTGCTTGTGCGCTCGGCGTTGAGCGTTTTGGCGTCCGTCTTCACGACCTTCCTGCGTCCTGGCAAGGACCTCAAGAAGTATGGCGCATGGGCTGTAGTCACCGGTGCCACAGGTGAGAGAGATGAGAGAGAGAGAGAGAGACATACGCGCTTGTGCGTACTATTGAAACGATGACAGCAGACAACTGTGGTGTAGAAGACATTCGCCGACGAGGGCAGCGGGGCAGCAGGAGAACATGTACCAATTTTTATGCGCACATGATGTGGCTTCGTGGCTTCGACACCTACAGCAGTATTCCTGCACTGCAAAGAGAGTTCCCAATCCAACCGCCCGTTGCTGATGATGAGCCAAAAATCCTTCTGCGCACGGGAGTGTTTGCGATGATTTTCCTGGAGCCAACAGCGCTGCGATTCCTGCGGTACTTGCACACACATCCAGTGCATACTTCGAGTATGGTTGCAACGGCGGTGGGGATCCTGGTGGTTCATGTCACATCCATTTTATTTGAGGCTCGCCGCTAACTAACCCTGGCGTATGCATTGTACATGTCTACGGCCCAAGTCTACATAGCGGAGTACCTAGCACCGTTGAAACTGTGTGAGCTCCAATAGCAGTTGTTAACCGCTACAGCAGTAAATCGGGAAAACCCCCAACATTTGCGGAAATGAGTACTGCTGTATTTCTCCACGGTTGTTTGGTTATCTCCACATTGCAGTCATCTCCGCACCTTCCGACATCTATACCGTCCCCAACAACCATGTGCGGGCACGACGTTCCTCTGGCATGGTAGAAGCAAGTCTTGGATTTCAGAACGTACTGCCTGATGTCTTCGTCTGAATCCTCCGGCTTCGGTTCATCGTCCGGGACCTTCCTTTCAAACACCCTCCTCTGCTTCCTTTTTCCACCGCTCTGGTGTCCATCGCCACTCCTGGAGAGAAAGTGCGTCCTTCCTGTCGCGGAGCACTCGGCCAGTCTCTCTGGTCCCGATGCCTACTTTTGAACTCTTCTCCTGTCCTTCCCATGACCTTTTCCTTTCTCCAGAGTGTCCTCTCGCGCAGACGCCTTTCCCTGGTCACAGGCCAAGTACCCCATCAGGGACTTCAAGGAACCAAAATCATGGAAAACAAACCCCATCGCATACGCCATTCGGTGACGAAACACAAACACAGAAAAATAATCACCAAAAGGCCCTGGTCAGCAGACATATGGCTGGTGACCTACTGTACATACCGGGCATCCATAAGAACTCATTGCTTTCGCTCGGCACGGAATGCCGAAATGCCGAACGAAACATCACGCACAGAAAAAATCATGCATGGATAACCAAACAAGGCAACAGAGTCGCAACAAAGTCGCACGATTATGTTCTTGTGCCCCTACACAGCCCCCCGGGTGTGTTCAATGCTGGCGTTCACCGACCATTGCCATCTGCATGTACCTACAAAATGAATATTGTGGGGGGCTCAAGATCAGGACACAGTGGGTGGTACCTCTATGTTCCACTCTAAAATACACGAATAGCAGCAGTCAAATACAACATACAGAGTTACAGCGTGCTTCAGTATTTCCTTTCTGCTACTTTGCACATTAACCCGGGCAGCAATAGCGTCGTGAGCGATCAAATTATTTCGTTCCGCAGCGAGCACCCACGTCGGCATCGAACCTCCGTTCGCCGCCGTCAATCCCATTGCCGTGTCGCCTCAATAGACGGGATTGGCAAGGCGATGGCCTTCCAGATGGCCAAGAAGGGGATGAACGTTCTCCTGATCTCTAGAACCGAGGCAAAGCTGGTGGACGCGGAGACGGAGATCAAGGCGGCATGCCCTTCGGTCGAGGTGGCCCACCTCGCCATCGACTACTCCAACTTCGACGCCACGCTGCAGGTGAGTGACGCGGAGAGGCAGTGTCCGAAAATTTCGTCATACTCGAGACTTTGTTCTGGATGCGTACTGTAAACAACAGCAGCAATCAGCAAAGAATAGCTCTGAACACCGGCGCCCTACTCGACACTGGTGTCCCACAACACGCTCTCACTTCCCGTCTCTCTGTGCCGCTTCGTCTTATTACTTTCGTGTCAGGCCAAGGTTGCTGCTGCCATCGCCGACAAGGATGTGGGCATTCTGGTGAACAATGTCGGGGTGTCTTACCCCTTCCCGAAGTACTTCGACGAGCTCACGGACGACGAGGTACTTTTCTTGTCGAAATGTTGCCCTCAGCTGGAGGCTTCACGTGACGCAGGACACTTGGATTTTTGTCAGCCGGGGCCTAATAATGTAACCCCCGCTCATTTTTCCACCCTTTGCGACGTCATTCGAGATGCTCGCAAGTGATCCACATTATTTTTCTGTGTTTCGTCCCTCTCCCGTGCCTGCTACATACTTTCCCCAGCGTGTTTTATTTTTGGCGCTATTTGAAGAAACGCATGTTCCATCTTCCCAATTTTGGCTCAACGCCGCGAGTACCGCCCGCCCCCCCCCCCCGTTCCTGAACGCTACCACCCGCCCCCTCCCCCGATCATCAGATGAAGTCGCTGCTGGAGATGAATGTTAACTCAACGGTTTGGATGACGCGCCTGGCTCTCCCCGGCATGGTTGCGAGGAAGCGCGGCGCCATTGTAAACTTTGGATCCGCCGCGGCTCTTAACCCGTCAGCGCTGCTGGCAGGGTACTCCGGGGCCAAGGGCTTCATCTTGGTGAGATGTGGCACTGCTGTCAGCGTTGTGTTCTTCGTCGCCTCGAACTCCGCACCCCCCACATGTCCATACGTCACACTCCCTCGTGCCACATGCTCCCAAGTTTTGACTTTCCCACCGCTCAACGTCAACCGTCCACACCATCCTGCACTCGTTCTCCGCCCCCAGAAAATGACGGAGTCGATGCACGTAGAGATGGCGGCAAAGGGCATCCACGTGCAGTGCCAGGTGCCCCTGTTGGTGGCGACGAAACTCGCCAAGATCCGCAGGGCGAGCCTGACCGCCCCGTCCCCTGCGACGTATGCCAAGGCTGGGGTCGGGGCCATCGGGTACGGCGCGGTCGTGTCGCCGTACTGGGCCCACAAGCTGCAGCTCTTCGCGCTGTCGGTGATTCCCTGGTCAGAGGCCGTGGTGTTCAACATGCACAAAGGTCTTCGGGCGAGGGCCCTCAAGAAACTGGCGTCCAAGAAGGACTGAATGGCGTGATAGTCGGTCGCCCCTTGTGTCACACTTTTTTGTTTCACATCCTCGGTTGTGTTACATGTTGTCGTTTGTTACGGCTGTGCGTTGTGGCTTGTCACGAGGTTACGGCGAACAGTGGGTCAACGCGGAGAGGGGTGTGCGTCGCCCCTTTCATGTTGTTCGAGGTGTGAGTGACGCTCTGGCAGGAAAAGTCTGATTTGCTTGGTTCGTCGGAGTCCAATACAACTCGTCCATTGCCGACTTGTCCACGCAATCCTTGTTTCGATCCTGTGTACGGGGTTTTATCGAAGCAACCTTGACCTACAGCATTTTCAGAAGTTCAGCCTTGGAGGATGTACGCACAGAAGCTACGTGACTACCCACAATTTGTCAGGCTGCTGTGTTGCACAACCATCCCCTGCCAACAGTTGTGTTGAGAATGGCGGAAACGTCTCAGCAGTGCAACTTTCGTGGACCGTCGCCGGGCGCTGGGCACTTTGAATCCGCAAAGGGGGGGTTGTTTGAACAGTAGCGCAGGAAGAGGGGGGAGTGTATGTTTGATGGTGCAGCACGACGCAGACCAGACGGAAGTCAGTGCTTTCTGTGTCGAGCATTTCCTCTGCACAATACTTAAAGAGTATGGTCATGCCCAAGGCGGTCATGATCTTTATGTGCTCACGCGGGCCGACAGGCTTCCACATCAGTTAACTTTCACGAGCACAGCGATGGCACGCGTACACAGCGATTGCTTACGTATCCTCGCACCCTCGTGCAGGAGGCATTTTGAAGCACACATCGCTGGTCGGCCAAGGGGTCATAGGTGGTCACTTCGAAAACCATCCAGAGATTAGGAAACCTTTGATCGCGAGTAGCTGGGGGATGGACGTCTGGGTCTTGGTCTGTGGCGGTACTTTTGTGGCATGCAAAATAGAGGAAATCTAACGCGTGACACCGGATCAGAGCTCCTCCGAGGCAAGGCTGTGCAGTATGGAGCACCGGCGAGCGCCGGGTGTTGAATGGGAGTACCAAACATCAACATTGCGAGCGTTGCCCACTTTTGGACATACGTCATGAGTTGTTCCCATGTAGATTCAAGACTTTTCCGCCCAGACATGTCGAAAAATGTTATTCGCGGATAGTGTTGACTGGAATGCACACCCGGCGGAATTCCAATAAATGGCGTTTCAATAAATGGCGTTTCTCTGTTGCCAAAAGTTGTGGAAGGGATGGTGCTGCAGTAGCACATTGAAACGGAAGCAATTTTTCGATCGAGAAGACGATTCTTTCAATGCTGCCCGTACCACACACAGGGTCCAACATTCTATGCCCCACTTGCCAGTCCCATGCTACCAAATACCCCCCCCCCTTCAGTGGTATCAGACATGGACGGTCGCCCCAAGGATACCAGGGAAAGATATGGCCCCAGTCTGGCCGCCATGACGCCATGGTCGGTGGGACTAGCGGCCAACCCATGGAGAGCACCCGCCAACTGCATCCGCACCGCTAGAGGAAGCCCCTTCGCTTCTCCCGACCTGACCAATTCAAACACCCACGGAAGCGCATGCTCCGCGTATTTCCCTCCCGAGACCACCCTCGCCACAAACGCGAACAGACGATCACGAGTTTCCATGCCTAGCCGATGCCTGCACAAGTCCGGACCCCCAGCGCTCCCCATCAGCCACAACACGTCACGCTCGGTCCCAGAAGACAAAACCGTTCGAAATGCGTGCTCGATCTCCCCACACTTCACCAGCTGTCCAACGTCTCGTCTAAGTCTTGTGGTTCGGCGAGTAGGGAGTTTCTTGGAGGTGGCACTTGCACCGAGTTCTTTGTCGGTGCATTTAGGGTCGGTGTTCCTGGATGTGCCGGTCTTGTTCGGCGCGCTCCTCTTCTCAGGCTCTGCGTTGCGGCTTACCCTCGGCCGTTTCAGCTTCCGTGAGGCAGGTGAGCGCATCGGCGAGGCAGCAGTACAAATTTGCTCCTTTGACTGTCGGGACAATGAGAGCAAGAATGGGGCGGCAGCGGCGGGACGGTGGGACCAGGGATATCGGCGAAAACACTTGGGTTGAACCAGTCCGCATGGTCTTGCACATTTTCATGCATGGAGGGAATGGTGGAATAACTTGTGGATGCGGCGCACACCCGGATTGTTGACATGTTTGACGGGGATTTTTCTCCGGCCGCCCGGCATGGAGTCGACCGCTTGACTGGGAGGTCCCCAATACTGCACACTCGCGTACATTCGAGCATGTGATCTATTTGTTCCCGATGGTATGCCATGTAGACTACGTGCTTTGAAGGCATGTGGTACACACGTCTTATTGTTCGACCCAGTGCCTCTTCCACGTCACGCTTGCAGCCCAAAGGACATCCTCACCATCAGGAGTTTCTCCATTCCCACAAGTCTTCGATCCAGACCGTCGAGAATGCTGACAATGCCATTCGTCTTGTCATCAAGATGCCTCAGGAGACGAACGGTGTCTACTTGCACGCCGTCTCGCACGTGTCGCTGCACCAGTGTCGTAGCCCCCGCCCTCGAAGTCTCATTCGACAGTGTTTCCAGGTCTTTTTTCTCTGGCGGTGCCATTCCTTGGACGGCGACCTCGATGCTTTGCACGGTCGATGCCGGCGCCGTCTGAATTGGCCGCGGAATAGGTTGAGCAACAAGGGTCTCCATGGGCGTACCCCGTTGTTGAAGCGGGGCACCGTTTTCTTTCTCTGCCTGTTTGCCTGGCTCGCCATCTTTTTTGTTCAGGGTCGGGAGATCCTCCTCGCTCGTCATGTTTCCCTTCCGCTCCAAGTCTCCGCTACTCGGATCATGTTCTCCGGGGTTCCTAGTATTCACCGCATGTGTTAGTCCCCTTCGGCGGTCGCTACCGCAGCCCTCACTGGCCGAGGATGACGGCGTGTCTTGTTTGTCGTTGCCTCTACTGGACGAGGGGCAACTCTCTACTGATGACACAGTCGATGTGCGGCCGGCCGTCAACTTCTTTTCACCAGGGACCTCCGCTTCTCGTTGTCGTCGGTCCCTACTGTCCATCTCGCTAGATTCTTGATTGGACTCAAGGTTGACCTGGGGGAGCTCGGTCATACATTCCCCCGCCTTCCAATCTTCCACAACAACCCCGTCGATCTTGGGGTTCGCAAGGTGTTTTCTCACGGCCTTCGACTCTCCTGTTTTCTCAGGGCGAAGTCTCTGTCTCATTCCCGCCAACGACATTCCCGCGCCCTTTTCTCCGCGTGTGTGAGGCCCTACGCTTGCCTGAGGCAACACGCGTGGACGGTTTTTTCGTGTTCCTTCCTCTGCGTCTGTTGCTTCGAGTGCCGCCAGCGACTTCCTCGCCGCCTCCCTCACGGCAGCCACTGAGTCATGCTTGGCTCCGGTTGCCCCTTGCACGAATTTCGCGCGGTGCTCGCCGAGCGGACCTTCGACTCCTCGGAGGTCGACGAGGACAGCAAGAGAAGCTATCACCTCAAACGCGGCCTCGCGTTCGTTCCAAGTGTATGCGCGACGAATCGGGCAGTTCAGAACTTCAAGCACGGCACGTGCGACGGCTGGGAGACCTTTCTTGAACGTTGCGGAGATTCCTCTCACCACCCCTGGCGCCGTCGCCACCACCATCTTTGGAGTACCGGTTTCAGGTTGTAGCTCACTATCTCCGTGTGTGACGCAGCTACGCGCCATCGCTGCCATGGCATTGAACAGCTGCGCTCGTGTCGCTTCCGACCGACCGTTGCCGAGTGCTTCTAGCAAGGAGGCGAGTATCTCCTCGCTGTTCACAGTGAGCCTGGCGTGGTGTGACGCCTGTGCCAGATTTACGCCGGTGCAAAAATCCTGCGGATGGGTCAACGATCATGTCACGAGGGAGCAACTTTGATCGATGTATGCATACATGGTGTGATTCGAGGAGAGAGGGTGCATGGATGTAGTGTGGGTGACGTTTATTGCTCTACAGCAGCTAACATCGCCGGACACAACCTTCAAAAGTGGAAAACACAGTAGCTCGTTAGGTCGTACTCCTACGAGAGAATTGATGCGGTACACGTTACCTCAGGAAACGGACAGACGTTCCAATTCGCAGGAAGACCTGCGGCAGTGACCGACAATCGATCGAAAAAGGATGCTGCGGCGGCAGCATCTGCCAGCTCGATCACCGCCCGCCCCCCAGGCAGCAGTATCGCCTCCTTCGGCATAGGGTTGGCTATCCCGCCGCGTTCCGCCGCCTGCCCGATGGCGAGGCGGACGTCGTGAATACTGCGAAGACCTGTTTCAACTTCTACTGGAACACGAGGCGAAGGCGGAAGCACTGACGCCACGCAGCAGACACCCGCAGATTCCCGCACTGACTTCCTCTGCTCCCCGACAAGCCGTATTAGGCGTCGAATTTGGACCATGTATTGGTCAACCGTGCCGTCCCGGAGGGCCGAAAGCACCACTGCCCCAATGCACAGCGCCAGTTCAACGTGGAGGCTTGCCGTTTCGTCATCCCGTATGCGATCCAACACGTATGAGACGATGCTAGCGTGGTGCCTGCTTGCCGCCCGCGGCTGATCCCAGCAGAGCCAGGAAAGCAGGCGAAGGGTGTACCGCCGAGCCGCCAGCGAGCAAGCCGTTCCGACCCCGCGAGCAGCGGTAACCACTTGACCCACTTGCACGGAAGAAGCTTCTCGCACCATTGCTCGGAGCTCCCCGTACGCTACCCCTTCGGTACTCCTAGTTTCAAGCCTCTGCATGGATTCGAGCAGTTTTCTCTGCCATCTGTGCGCCCGCACTGTCGCTCCTTCCTGTTGGTCCCAGCCCATCGGTAGGCCTGGCGATTTTCCTCTCTCGGTGTTTTCGTGTGTTGCGTTAGCGGCTAGGCGAGACAGCTTAGGGCTTGGTTTCGTGAGTGCAGGAACAAGCGAGAATGTTGCTGGCAACCCGCCACAGGTTTGGTTGAACTCGGCTCTCTCAGATCCCACCGATGACAACGTTGCCTTCGCCTCATCGGGTGCCGCGGCCACACCGTAGGTATCTCGCCATCGTGGCCGTTTTTCCCCCGTAGGAGCGGTCTCGGCCAATATGATATTCGACGTTGGGGTTTCAGCCCAATCTTTCGATTCAGCCTGCGTTGCACCTGTCATCTGGAAGACGGCGGATGGATTTCGAGGTTGGACGGGTTTCAACTCGAACGGACGTTTCTGGAGATGAATCGGGCAGGTGAGTGTGGTGGCTTCTGGAGCCGACTTCGGTCGAACGACAACAGTGCCCCCTCGCACGGTCAGCTCTTGACTATTGGCGGGAGTTCGACGTGGTGGCGACGTCGAAGCTGCACGGCCGCAACCATCTGATCGGCGGCAGCCACGGAAACTCTTCATGTGATGCTCGAAACGAGCCGCTGAACCGAGACCCTGTCCAAGGGTGTCGTTGTCTTCATCACGGAGCAAGACACAGTCAGACCCAACGAAGAATCCGACAGCGATTTTCAAGGCCCCCCGTGACTTCTTCATGCCTCGGCATCGCTGCAGTGGGTACCACCTCGCCGGGAGCTGGACAAGCTGGGTGTGGGCCATGATGTTGCCCTCCGTGAGAACTGTTTCCAGGGGAACCTCAACTCGACCCAGGTCGATGTAGTGGAGGTCTCCGTTGGCATCATCGTGATCGCGTACCAGTATGTTGATTCGTCCGCTTAAAACATCTTCCACAGATTGGACTTCCAACGGAAACACAAACTCGGCGTCCCAGACTGGGTCGACGGTGTGCTTACGAACCTCTGTAGACTAAAAAAAAAAGGTCCGTGTGTTCAGTTGTTGGCAGCAGTGCATGGGAGGCGGGACGAGTTGCAGAATGGTAAGAGACGAGTGCGGGGCATTGCCTCTGTGGATTCTGCCCAAGGAGATGTGGTGCTTGATTTCGATCCTTCACAAATGGGGCGCGATATAATAAATCGTCACGCAGATGGCGGTGTTTTTCCCGGCACCCCAGTGGCCCTACGTTGCTGCATAGCAAATCAAGGAACGTTTGTTGTGTCCCTTCGTAGAGACAGTAGAGAACAATTTTTTTCACAACAGTGTGACATGTTGACAGCTGCAAGTCTCGCGAGTCAAGCACCATGCCGCTTGGTTCCCCCATACATTCTAAAATCCCCACGGAGTACGGTACGTTTGGTGCTGTGCTGGGAATTCACTGATTATCAATCTGATCGTTGGACACAACTACTATATGCCTCTGGCCGAGGCCACTTTTCCTCCTTGTTCCGGCTTTCCGCGACCCATAGTCACGGGAGGAAGCCTACACTATGTATGTCTCAAGCAAAACAACCTACTGCTGTCTTTTCAGTAACTGTTCAGATACTTTCGGCGTGACCTACGGGAGTGGTGTTAGACTGAATATATCGCACATTGTTTTTTTGGTAGCGTTCAGCGGGACATTATCTCGATCGCTGACAGCGATGCCCTTTTCTCACACTCTGGAGCACTGAGAGACCAGCATTCTTTACCTTGGATTTAGCATACAAGTTGTTTTAACGTGCGGTGTATCTTCATGTGCTTTTCATCGGCGAAAAATCTTGACAAATTGCTGGGTGCTGGGTTATGTAGTTTGCTCTTGTTGATATTCCGATCACCCATTCCGCAAGCGGATGCCTTGGCTTTCTGAGATCCGCGCCGACGCCCGATTATGTATAATAGGTCCTTTCCCTTCAGAAACATCGCCTCGCCTCGATGGCCACAGCGTTCCGTGCGTGAATAGCCCCCCTCTCCGCACACCAGCATGCATTTGCATCTACGATTCAGAAAAGACGAGTGCTTTTCTGTTTCGCGTTTGTGTCCACCCGCTGGTACATTCTATCCGCGTTGTGGCCCACTGAGGTCCTTCTGGGCGTCTGTCGCACCGACGAGCCACCCCCGCCCAAAAAGTATCGATAACGGGGAAAACATACCACGGTAGACTATACGTCGGGCTTCCGATATAAACAGATAGAGGGAGAGATGAACATCACAATACTTCACGTAACCATGTCTTGGGGATTTTATCTGCAAAAGTTGTACATATTTAGCTGGCGACGAAAGCCGCCCAAAATGTGGTATTTTCACTGAATCTGAAACAACCCCGGAAATGCTAAGAGGGAGCAACCTCTACATAACTCTATGGGTACGCATGCAGCCGTACCTGAACACGCCTGTCATGCTTCAAGTCGACGTAGCCGCTTTCGGTAGAGCTGACCCACAAGAACGTGATAGGGTCACTTGTCCCGGTCTGGAGGTCGGACACCAGCAGGTTTTTGCCTTCGAGGACCTTGACTGTGACCCTTGTGCGCTTTAATAGCGGATCTATGGGCGCCACATTAGAGCGTCCACGGAAAACGCACGTCCGTAGCAGGTATTAGACCTATTCTTCCACATTGACCATACACGGTGCGCTGCAACTACGAGACTACAGCAGTAGTCCGTACACATAGTTCTACAGTACGTAGGTACGCCTTCTTTGGTGCAAGTGCAGTACCCATCAAAGCGTCTCGGACACAAACGAGCTACAGAATTTCGTCTTTTTAATGGGGGTGGCCCACTCGCTCACCGTCTGTTCCAGCCAGCGGCGAGCTGAAGTGATTGTGAGAAAAATAGCTCGGTGCGAGAGCGGACTTGTGATCACCTCGAACTAAGTCGGCGCGAGAGGTTACACCGCCCGCTCGGAGAGTCGGCAGCTTTTGGTTCATGATGCGGTTCGGGTTGCTGGTTGACGTTTCTGGTTAGCTGCTCGTCGCGTGGAAGCCTGTGGCATCGGAGTCCTATCATGCAAGAAGAACTCGCAGGTTTACTTCCCTGGTCACCCCTTGGTAGATGCAAACCAATTGTACAACAGATCTTGCAGAAGACTACCCCGTACGTGTAGACTAGTATATGTGAAACGGAACAGGTTACGCCGCATTTCGCGTGTTGCGTGCCGTGTGCGGTGTGCGGTGTCACGTGTCATGGGCCCTGGCCAACGATATGGGTACCAGCACGTCTTTGGAGAGTAAAACATTGTGGCTTGACAACTCGGTCAATGGCGATCTCCTGGCAGTAGCTGTACATCTTCTTGTCTCGAATGCCGTCAGTAAAATCGGATCCACAAACAAACGAATACAAAGGTGGCACGTAAAATCGCACAATCCAATATTTACTTACCTAATATATAAACCTAGGTCAAGCACAATATACTACAGCTATTTGAACGCCTATCTTCACAAAACAATCGTTCCGTTCTCCGCTCAGTACCTTCTTATATCCGTACTGGTCCAACTGACCCGGACGCCTTCCGTGGTCACAGACTATCCAAAATATAGCGAAAATATAAAATGAACTCCGAAATAAAAATCCTGCAAGGAAGGGTGCATGAAAAAATTCACACCTCTAGGTACCCATTTTGCCGCGGGGGGGGGGGGGGGGTAAACTAAACTCAAGACAAACTAAAGATGATAAAACAGATTGTTTTTTGAACTTTTGTTAAGGAGGACCCGATTCGCAGGCTTTCTGTCGATAGATGGACTTTTCTTACCACAATCGTACACCTTCGCACATGGCGCCAGCGGCACAGGATACTGATTCGCATCTCCTTGTGTGCACATTTTTCTCCTGACTTGGACATTTTCTCACGGACACAAATGTGTGTCAGTCCTGAGAGCACCGCGTGGAGCTGACCCTAGAAGAGCCTTGTGAAACTTCCATCGAATTTCCCGTCCTGTCCACAAGAGGTTCCCAGTTGAGGGTTAAGTTCTGTGGGTCAGAGTATTAAAGAGGACCCGATTATTCGGAGGGTATCCGTCGATTGACTTTTACCGGAATCGGTACACCTTCGCACTTTGCTCGAAAGTGCTGCACCACTTACCTACCACTCCGTATTTGCTTCCATTCTGACCTCTTTAACACCTAGACTCGTTTTCAATTCTCTGTGTGCACCCTTGCCAGACGCGACGATATATATCCGAGACCACAATGAAAATAATCTATACGGGAGACGAGCGAACCCGGCCGAATAATGCGTAGACGATAGTGTTGGTGTGCACTGCCGCCCTCAGCGGTCTGTGGTGTTGAGACTGGGTACTATGTTATCCCAGGAACGCGCGTGGCCATCATGTGTATTACACAGGACAAGGATGCTCACCCCACAGGCAAGTGCCAGAAGCACACCACCGTGTGCTCTGTCGGGGGGTCCACACTTGGACTCCAACCGCATACATACCCATCATACACATAATTTTTATACGCGTATCCCCCACAGAGGACACACAGATCGGACTCATATCCAAGTACCACAAACAGATAGGATGCTGGAGTAACATGTTGTTGTTGTTGTTGTTGTTGTTGTTGTTGTTGTTGTTGTTGTTGTTGTTGTTGTTGTTGTTGTTGATGTTGTTGTTGATGTTGTTGTTGTCGTTGTTGTTGTTGTCTTCACATTAAAACCGTTCCGGTTTCCGCCCAGTTCCCTCTAATGTCCGTACTGGTCCAACTGACACGGACGCCTTCCGTGGTCACAAGCCACCTGCCCCCACAAAAAGGGCACACCGTTCTAAACAAAAAATGGTGGCACCGTTTTCATACGTAGACTACCTAAAAGTCTGCAGAAAATACAGTTCCGGAAGCAATATTTGGGAAATAAGTTCCGGAAGCCATATTTGGGGGGGGGGAGCGCCGGCTTTTTCGAGTTTGCAGTGTGACTCCTTTCGGGAGGGCGGCGGGAACGTTTGGTTTCTTGTCAATATATGGGTACTTAATCTCAGGGGTCATCACCAGCTAGGCAGGAGAGGTACTGCTTTTGGAGTCGCTTTTCTGACACACTGTTTCGCCTTGTGGGCACTGTTTGTATTGTGTCTCTGCTGACTTTGGCTAAAACACGAACGATGGTATCCCCACCGCCCGCCAAATATGCACCAGCACACAAGCACGTGTGGTAGAGACAGACTTGCAGAAGGTAACATCTAGGGAAACGTCAGGAAAGAGAGCATTGATCCATTTCGAGGAAGCGAAAGACAAGGGGGTACCATCGTGGCTGACAACGCGAGGGCTTTCAGCGAATAACGGAATGCCGACTGAATTGTGTCGGGAGTCAATCGGTTGTGTACGGGGGAGTCACGATCGAACTGCCTGCGACACAGTCAGACTTTGCGGTGCAGGTGCAATATCACCATTCAAAGAGAACTTGAGCCGGGCCCACTCGTTCGTCTGCACTATGACCGGCGCCTCCATTTCCTTCACAACAGGATGGTTCGCGTGATCCTCAAGACTCTACGCGTCTCACATGCCGTTCGCTGTCGAGGATTCTTCCCCATCTACCACACGTACTGGAAAGGGAAAAAACCTCTTTAAGATGGATTAAATTTTACCCCATGATAACGCACAGGTGATAAAGGGGAGGAGCTCTTCACCAAGTCCGTCGTTGTAGCAGAGGTCGCCGTTGTCAATCCATCTGCAAGAAGAAGCATCGACAAATCGATACCAACGCCAGGACACGCCCTAGAAGATCGAGCCGCAAGTAGGCAAACCATGCGAGAAACTGCAACTCTTCTACAGATCTACCCTCTTGCTGCTTCTATTCCATCGGGTAATCGTAGCTATCGCCAACCATCTTTCCTACGGAGCATTCTACAAGGGGAATTTGAAATTTCGACGATGAGTCAGCCTTTCTTCGCCTCAAGGCGTACCGCACCAATAGGATTCGGGGACGGTTCGCCTTCGAGTTATTTAGCTCGTTTTCTGTCAGTACGATCTCGTGACGTCTTCAAATGTGCTGGACTGCCGATCGACCAAGTTCCACCACGGCCAACAGGTTGGGATTTCAGTAGTGCGGGTGCAAACGATGGTGAAGGCATCAAGGGCAGATCGAAGGTAGTTCATTGGGAGTATCGAAGGAGGAGGAAATGGAAAGGAGAGAAAAGAGAGAAGGATGAAAACGATGATGGAGGAGGGAAAAAATCCCTTGAAGAGATAAGAGTATCGAGCCTGATGACTTTCCACACGGCAAGCGCCGCAGGACTAGAGAGGACCTGCCAAAAAGCAGTGGGAAAACTGGCGACGAGAGTGGTGGGTTGGTGGTGGGTCTTCCGACTGAAAGTAAGAAGATATTCACAGTTGCTTGTTACGGTGCAGTGAGACCTCAGGAGACCGGAACGGCCTCAACGGTCTCTTTTTGTTTTTTTGTTCTTCACTTCAAATCCGCGCTCACAGCAATTGTGCCGTTTACTCCAATCCTTGGTCTCTTAGAGGAAAACAATTGTAGCACATAATATCGTCTTCATCTACAAAGCTTTTGCGCAATATGTATGCACAATACGTTCACCACAAAAGAACATTCACTACCAACACGTGTTCAACACAACTTGTTGCACCCTTCCACGGAGGAATTCTGGCCGTAGGGTGCAATTATCAACAGCACTGAAGGCTAAGAAGCTTAAATTTACGATCTCCCCGTACACTCGTCTGTTTCTCATCGTTCCCAACCCCGGCGAAAAGGTGGGGGGTATATAATCTTTCTCCCTCGACGGACAGAATTTCTAAAGTGACCCGAACCATCGACTCTGGTGCGCTCGTGCCCTTGTCTGGAATGTCGATAGTCTCGAAAGCAGGAATCGAAACGTGTGATCCCCACAACCCATCAACAACTACAACAGAGGTGCTGTTATTTGCCGCGGAACTTCCGTGTGCATCCACCTGGCCCACGGACACTTTCACAGCACCCATGCCCTCGTAGCTCACAAGATACTCTACATCCAGAATCTGTTTTTCACCGACGCACGGTAGGTCGAATACCGCGACGGCCGGATTTGAAGAGGAGTTCCCGAAGCCCGTCAGTCCCGGCGCCCCAGCGAGTTGTAAGATGGACCATCCGTTGGTCGACACTAGTTCGCTAGGAGGAGGAGTTCCAAGATAGCCCCCCAGCTCAAGCTCAAAGGCGTTGGTACTCTCGAGGCAACCCAATCCGTTCTTGAATCGCTCAAGCTCTCGTTCGTCTACGCTGGGGTTGGGCAATGGGTCTTTCACCTGGGGTGTCGGCGATGCGAGGAAAAGAGGAAGTGGTTCGTTTGATTGGCAATTTGAAATTGGCGGACCAATGGCCTACGTGCACCGCTTTTTACGGGAGCATAAAGTTGCTAGAAACGTTAAACATTTTTGGCAACTTTTGGTTGGGAAACTACGTCAAAATCACGTTTATTGCACGCTCAACATGGGGCGAAGGAGGGTTTCTTCATCGGACTGGCGGAGGGGTGGTCATTTTGGTTTTTGGAGCAACGGCGAGCAGGCGCATCTCTTCATACCACACCGCGAAACCGGCCAGAGCGCGCAACAAAAGCTTGAAAACGAGTTGGTGGAAAAAACCTGATGTTGTGCCTTCCAATCGAAGCCAGGAAGACCTCAATCATTCTAACATCCAACACATTGTTGTCGCAGACTCTACAGCTAACATTCTGTACGTGCTCTAGACAGCTGCGGCCATCGCAGGCAATCCCAACTCGTGGTTCAAGTATTTTGACTCGGGCGTTCATCTATCGCGTGGATCGTGCGCGTGTGTGTGGCGGGAGAGGGTCTACATGTGTGGTAGGGGCAGGTGCTTGACGTGGATTGGCGGAAATCTTGCCGCGAAACGTTTTTTCGACACTTTTTGGCGCGAGAAATGTTTGCAAACTTTTCTGCAGATCGCACGATTATTGTCAAAAGCAAAAGTTTCCAAGCTTTTGGTGCGGCGTTTTTCTCCCATAAAACGTGTACATGAGAAAGGTGCGAGAATAGTTTGCAAACATTAGATTTTTTCGTAACTAAATTCTCCCATAAAAGCGGTGTTAGCCCTCTGACCATTATACGAGACCGGAGCACCGGACTTGCGTTCCTTTGACGAGGATTGCAGGCAGAAAAAAAAACGTAGGGTGGTGTGTGTAGCCGGGTTCTTCAATTCTCGAGCTTGCATCGCCAGAATGTTCGGGTTGCGATGGCGACACTGGGCTACGTGACAGTGGTTAGTCTGATAGAGACACGTGGACTACCACCTCAGCTCATTCCGGCTTAGTCAGTCAGCTTGATTGCCGGCGTGTCGAATTTCGAAAAACGCACTGTAGAACCGAGTGTAGCTGGGGGGTGAACACATAAAGCACGGAATGCTGCGAGGGCAGCACATCGAATAATCGACGAAGAGGGCATACGAGGGAGGCGTTCGCGAAAAAAGAAAGCCACAAGTTGTGTTTCCTCAGCTGCCAGAAAGCGTGAGCATCCCCGAATAACAACCCACAGAGTATTATGCACACCACCAGCCCAAAATAGTACATCTGGACTGTGTCACTCACCACCTCGTCACCGCACGCGATCTCCCCGTTCGCCTGGACAACCCGATATTCAAAGGCGGGAACACAATGGCGGAGGTTATTGTGTTGTCCGTTGGGGGTCTTCTCAGCTAGGACATTCCTGGCAATGGTGTTCGTTTCCTCACACAACGGAGAAACAATTCGAGGTTGGTTGGGAGCCAGTGTCGATGTCGGTGCCGATTCAGTGCCAACGGGTTTCGGGAGGACAGCTACGTGTTGTCTACCAAACGTGAGATTCTGTCTGTAATCACCTCCAGGAATCTGGCGTGTGACTTCTGCATGTAGTACACGACGACGTCGGCCATGAGCTGTTGCACCTGCCAAGGAGGATGGACTCTATCCCCCCAAATGGCATGTGCCAAAGACGAATCTTCGATATCTGGCCATACCACATGACGGAATGAGGCCTGGAACCCATACGAAAACGGTTCTGAGGAGCTTGATGTGTTGTGAAGGGTTTTATTGTCAATCCCTCATAATGGTTCGAAGGTTGGACAGTTCAACGCTCGCTGCTGCACTTGAGCAATCGGGAAACAGAAGTGCACGCTATTTGCACATTCAGGTCATGGCTACAAAACACGCTTGTGCAATGATGGCTCAGAATATAAGGCGTTCAGCCGGATATCAGAGGTAAAAATGACAACTAAGAGATGGGGGTTGCCCGTTACGTAAGGGTACACTGCACACCGACCAGTGGCCTTAGGAAGGTCACCAAGCTATGAGGTGCAAACATCTGCAGGTCCTATGCCACTTTCAAACAGAAGGCTGGTCTCACCATGGGTATATCATGTTTCTGCGTCACATTTGCGTGCACCTCCGCCATGTTCCTGCCTGGCGCCCAGTGAATAGCCACAAGGTGTGGTGAAATGTAGCTTTCCGCGTAAAGGAGCGCCGGCTTACTTGTCATGGCGTTTCTAATGTGGCCGATGAATGTTTCGTGGGCCATTTTCACGTCGTCAAGATCGAAGTGGTCGAGAATCGCATCGTTTACCCCAAAGTCGACGATGACGAGATCCACTTTCAGGTCCACCGGCAAAGCACTTTTGATTGTTTTGTGCAGAAAGTCAATCATTCCTTCGCCCGGTACGGCTTCGTTCACCACCTGGCATGAAAGTGTCCAGCACACACAATGAAACGTAAATAATTGTGTCTGCTCCATACATGTGTTGAACGACACGGCAAAGAACAGATTTCCCTCATGTCGAACGAATCATCGTAGTTGTTATAGATTGAGTCAAGATTCTCGAGCGATGACGTATAGTCACCCGCTCAGCGTAGCGCGCATAGACGTTCAGGTTGTTTCCCGACGTAAATACCAGAGTATCAAGCCTCACCAACATTGTCAGTTATGGAATGCAGAGTGCGGCAAACCGTACCTCGACTTCGAAGTCTCCTACTTTTTCCTGGAACCACTGCTCCAGGCGATGTGGCCATGCACAGGCGTTGAAGGTGAGACCGTTCGGAGATTCACAGTTACGACCGAAAGTTACGCTCCCTCCGATCGCCACAACCTTCAACACCCCGTTGTCCATTGCCCGTTTGAACGCACGGTGAAGAGATATGTCGGAAGTATTGTATGGTATCGCGCGCGGGAACATTTCCGGCGAAAGCAGGTACGGCCTCGACACCACGGGTTCATCGTGGAAGCAGTCAAGTTCATATTCCCCGTGCGTCTCCCAGCACAGAACGCCCGTGCTCGAGGTGATACCCACGTCAGGAGTGGCTCCGAACACTCCCGGCAAAGATGACGTACCCACATGTAGCCTACTGGCAGCGAGCATAAAGAATGCCGTCGTCCATACTCTTTCTTTGGTCATTTCCCGCCGCAGGTAAGGCATCCCTTTCTGCCCTTGTCTGTGACAAACTCACATCCGCGCAAGCAATCGGAAAGTGTGCACGTGAAATCTATTCACGAGTTTGAGCATTTCCTGAAGGAGTTTCTTTGTCATGTCATTTGTGTGAAAGTATGATGATATATACTTGCCGTATGTCATGGTGCTGCTCTCATGGGGCGGTTAGGATCTCCCACATTCTACAGTTGTGCTAAACCGCCCATGGGCGGCAAACGAGTGCCCTTCAACCCGAACTAGTGTACTCCTAAACAGTAGCTTATCTGCTCTGGGACGGACATCATAACAACTAATATCCCTAACGCTAACGACGTGCTAGGTTGGCGATGGGTGGCTAAGTTCTAGGTTGATGTGCAGATGGCTAACTTCTAGGTTGATATGCCGGCGGCGAGTTCTAGGTTGAAGTGCCCGCGGTAGGCACTTCAAGGGCAGTTCATGGGTCGCCCAGGTTGGCGCTGGGCGGCCAAGTTCTAGGTTGATGTGCCGATGGCTAACTTCTAGGTTGATACGCCGGTGGCGAGTTCTAGGTTGAAATGCCCACGGTAGGCACTTCGTGGGCACTTCATGGGCCGCCCATGGGTTCGCCGACGAGTGTCCCATGGGCGGTTTAGCAAAACTGTCAGTAGTGTGGGAGATTGGGCGATCATGACACGGTGAAGATGCAAAAATTCGGAGAATATCTCTCGCCCTTGGGGGTGCCCGTGGCCATCTTGCCAGACTCGTTTTTCGCCAAAGTTTTCTGGTTGACCGTATCGAGTTGAACGTTTCAGCAACATACATGTACACCGTCTCACGAGCGCCGTAGTTCTCATGACCCCCAACTGAGAATGCAGATATCAACATTACTATATGTAGTGAAGAAGTTTGAAAAAACCGGCGTCTCATGGACAACCATGAGGCAACTCATGAGGAACCATGAGGCCTCATAGGCACCATGATGATCATCTCGTGGAATCTCATGGAGGACCATGAGATTGCTTAGGACGTTGTGCGAATCGAACGTGCGACTGAGATCTTGTTCAACGTGTCTGTACACGAACCCATTGACCAATACCACGCACCAAGAGCAGTAATCACTACTGTAAGGGAACAATTGCCCCCCCGCCCAGTGGGGCGGGCGGCCAGTATGCGTGGGATGGGTACGGCGGTTTGATAGGCAGAGGAAATAGAGGCGATGATGGCACCGGTACGAAAGAAGGACAAGTTTTAGACGATGTGAGATCCACATTACGTCCGTTGCGTAGATAATCGGTGGTGAACAAAACCAATGAAACCAAGGGAATTTTGTGGAAACGTCGATGCCCGATCACCAAACGTAGAACGGACGGAAGACCAATCTCCCACACTACTGACAGTTTTGCTAAACCGCCCATGGGACACCCATGGGTCTCCCATGGGCGCCCATTGGCACTTCATGGAGTGCCCATGAAGTTCCCACCGTGGGCATCAGTCCTAGAACTTCGCCTCCGGCATATCAACCTAGAACTTAGCGACCTGTACATCTACCTACAACTTTACCTCTGGCGCCAACCTTGCACGTATCGTGTGGGTTTGGGGTTAGGGTTGGGGAGAGCGTTAGGGATATTGGACGTTATAGTGCCCGTTCCAAAGCGGATAATCTATTGTTTAGGAGTACACTGGTTCAGTTGAAGGGCTCTCATTTGCTGCCCATGGGCTGCCCACGGGCTACCCACGGGCACGACGATGGGCAGCCCATATGGGCTGCCCATGGGGATGTCCATGGGTCAACCGTTGGCAACAAAGTGCTCATGGGTGGCCCATGGGTGTCCCATGGGCGTTTAAAAAAACCTGCAGAAAGTGTGGGGTACCCCAATCCCTCACAGACGGGGGTGGGCAATTTTTTGAGGAGGGAATGCATGCATGGATGAGATTGAACATGAGATCCGTTCCGTTATATGACTGAGGTGTTGTCACCTCCGCTTTCGAACAACTTAGCTCCTTGTATCGGAGGCTCGTAGGCAACAGCACCTATTGAGATTTGCTACCTCCAACAAAACGTTCGGTTACCAACCACCTTGTACGAAGATCTTTGTTGCTACAGGTTGACGCAACGTCCCGTGTTATTATTGAGCGCGGAGAACATCCTGTTGGAGAACATCACTGCACGCTACAACAGCTGATCAGCAGTATCTGGAGGATGGTAGTCTACAGCATTGATGGTGGAAGATTGAGAATGGAATTTGAATCCGAAACAACACCACAAACGAAACATGTTCAACACTGCGGGTGGATGTGCTGAGACTCGTCTACAGCAGCAGCGTTTCACTTTGCCCGGTGGTGTCGCATTAATACCCTGCCCGGTCATCGCAGCAGGAGGCATCTCATGCAGCCGATGTCGCAAAGATGCGGTAGCTTTCTTGTCTTGCACAAAAAAAGTATTTCGAGCTACAACAGACTTGAAACTAACACGGTAGTTGTTTCCCACAATACTTTGTAGTGAGAAATGTTTCACGACACGACCACCATCCTGTGAGTATTCCAGTAGATAACGTGGTGAGCGAGCTTGCAAAGTGATTTTCCCTCATTTCCGTTCCTGGCGTGGGTGGAAAGCGCTACGTATAGTTCGTGCGAACACTCTTCTTGAATAAATAATGTAAGGCAAGATACCGCAAGGAGGTACAGGTATGTAGGGAGTAAACCCTTTTGTGTGACGACGGGTTGGAGTAAACAACACAATAAGTGATGTAGCCGCGGATCAGAAGTGAGGACAGTAATAAAAAAAATGGAATCGATATGCGCGTCGTGACCAATCATACTTCAAACAACAGACTACCCGAACCGAAACCGCCACTTTGGGAACCCGCTTGGCACTGCTCTATCATGGGCCGATGACCTTGCTGCTAACAAAATAAGTTTGATCTTCCAAGTCTCTCATACCCTTTTGACCTCTTGGAGCTGGATCCAAACATCCATCACGTCGGCACAATATTTGCCGGATCTTTGGCCAGTGTATGCAGTCTACAGAGCATACAACCGTGGTGCACTCCAACAGACTCGAGGCCCTCCAGAGAGCTTTGGCCGTTTGTTGCCAGAGAGGTTTCCACGGACAGTTGTATGATACATTCAGTCGTGTTTGCGAACCGTGTGAGGTTTCTACATTATGAGGTTCTTCACCTCTTTCAAACGCTTGCGTCGACACCTTGTGTCCGTATCTCGTTTCGAGGCGCCCAGGCTACTGTAGTGTCTGCGACTTGATTGTGTACACCATGTCACTATTTTCTTCGAGACCTACGGCGTTGTTTTATGCCACCCTCCGGGGCGTTTTGGTTCGGATATCTTGGTTCCATAGTCTGGAGTCGCGGTTCTTGGATTCGAACGAACGCTCTCATTCTTACTGCCTACTGTCGTTGTTGTTGTTGCCGCAGAAAGAGTTGGACAGACATACGCGCCCCCGGACCAAGTGTGTTTTTGGACCTACGGAGTACACACATGAAGCAAGCAAGCCGCCTGGTTTGGAAGTCGCGTGGAATGGCCGAAGCCCGGACCTGGCTTATATAGAATCCACGACGTACATCTCCTCCTTGGTATAATTGAGAAATCCAAAGGAACAAGAACAGGATATCACAGTAGTCTGTACAGCAGCAGCGGTGGGCCCGGTTTATTTCGAGGTTCACTGTGACACGAGATTTGATTTTGGAGCCAAAATAATGTGTTCGAGGACATCGCGCTGCATAGTGATTATAGGACGGCTCAGTCGAAGTTTCAATGGCAGTTCTGAAGCTCAGCGTGGGTGCCTCTTCTAGGCCTTCTGTTGTGAGAGATTCACATACTTGGGTGCTCTGTTGAGGAGGTCACAAACGTTCATCCATTTGTCTTTACTTACGTAGGAAACTCATTGAACATGTTAAATATGTATGTAAGTGCAACCATTCCATTCGCGTTCCAAGTTTCTTCGTCACGTGTGAAACTCGAAGACTATACGTTTAGCTCTACAATGTGGTATGAATGAGAGCCAACACGATCCACGTCTCACGGTAGCTTCTGGGAGTGAGCTACATAGCGGGAGACCGGGATCGGCCGAAAGGATACGTTTCATGAGGCAGGAAATAGGACTGACACCTGCACAAAGTGGTCGAATTCACTTCACACTGACACCGCGTCACATATTTTTACTTCAGAGGCACATGTGCTTCAGAAGGATACCGTCGCAATAGAACTGCACCATGGGTGGGTTTAACGTTTCGCTCATTCTCATCGACGTGTCATGCCTGGGCTAACACTACGTTGAGGTTTTCCTTGGAGTCACCAAAAGTTGGGCGGTGGCTCGACGCGCCGAAAAACTTTGTGTGTCACTTGTGGGGGCGGCGTTCATTCCGGCCAACAAACTATACTTTCAACGGCTTTCGCCCTGAGATACGAGTCGAACCGGGACAGCGGCATGCTTTGCAATAACCAACGGCCATGCACACCGGAAAACTCACTGTCCTCCTTTCGTATGTGAAACCCCTTGAAAACCCTCTTCGAGAAGACACCGGCAACATCCGGAGCAGCAACCAAGGTCAGGACGGCAGTTCTAACTTCGCTGCAGAAACCCAACCGATCGCAGCTGCACGTTGAGGCTCATGAGTCCAAACGTGATCCGTGCGATCTTCTTCATCGGGTTGGAGGACACCAGTAGTCTACATACATCGGTAACACGCCGAAGCAGCAAGCGATGCAATAGTTGTGGGAACGACCCCACGTTATCATAGGCAAACCCCCGTTTGGTTAGATTTCCGCACTCTCAGACAAACTATCCCACTACGAACAGAATAACCACACGACAAGAACGACCGCAGCATGAAAAATGCAGTTTCCAGACTCTCACTGCCGACGCGTTTTCAATACAACTTGTTGCACCCTTCCACGGAGGAATTCTGGCCGTAGGATGCAATTGTCAACAGCACTGAAGGCTAAGAAGCTTAAATTTACGATCTCCCCGTACACTCGTCTGTTTCTCATCGTTCCCAACCCCGGCGAAAAGGTAGGGGGTATATAATCTTTCTCCCTCGACGGACAGAATTTCTAAAGTGACCCGAACCATCGACTCTGGTGCGCTCGTGCCCTTGTCTGGAATGTCGATAGTCTCGAAAGCAGGAATCGAAACGTGTGATCCCCACAACCCATCAACAACTACAACAGAGGTGCTGTTATTTGCCGCGGAACTTCCGTGTGCATCCACCTGGCCCACGGACACTTTCACAGCACCCATGCCCTCGTAGCTCACAAGATACTCTACATCCAGAATCTGTTTTTCACCGACGCACGGTAGGTCGAATACCGCGACGGCCGGATTTGAAGAGGAGTTCCCGAAGCCCGTCAGTCCCGGCGCCCCAGCGAGTTGTAAGATGGACCATCCGTTGGTCGACACTAGTTCGCTAGGAGGAGGAGTTCCAAGATAGCCCCCCAGCTCAAGCTCAAAGGCGTTGGTACTCTCGAGGCAACCCAATCCGTTCTTGAATCGCTCAAGCTCTCGTTCGTCTACGCTGGGGTTGGGCAATGGGTCTTTCACCTGGGGTGTCGGCGATGCGAGGAAAAGAGGAAGTGGTTCGTTTGAATGGCAATTTGACATTGGCGGACCAATGGTCTACGTAGCCCACGAGACGGAGCACCGGATTTGGTTTGAGTCCATTTTGATGGAGATTGCGTTCAGGAAGAAACAGCAGGGCGGTGTGTTTAGCCAGGTTCTTCAATGCTCGAGCTGCATCGCCAGAATTTCCTGGTTGCGACAGCGATATTGGGCTACGTAACTGTGGTTTACTTTCTAGAGACACGCAAACTACCACCCCAGCATATTCTGACTTCAGCCTGTCAGCGTGTGTGCCCGCGTGTCGAATTTTCGATGAACTTCGGAGCGGAGTGTAGCCGGGGGGTGAACACAGAGAGGGCGGATGCGGGGCCGGAAGCACAAGGGAGAATCAAAGTAGAGGGCATACGAGGGAGGTGTTCGCGAAAGAGGAAAACCACAATTGCGTTCCCTCAGCCGCCAGAAAGCATGACAAGCAACCCGATATGATAACCCGAAGAGACTGAGAATGGCCGTTTCCAGCTTGGAGCAGCCAAAACGTCTGACTTCCTGCACACCACCAGCCCAAAAGAGTATGTCTGGGCTGTGCCACTCACCGCCTCGTTGCCACCGTACACGATCTCCACATTCGCCTGGACAACCCGATAAGCACAGAGGGGTATGCACACGTGGAGGTTGGTGCACGTACAACAGCCACTGGGTTGCCGTTCAAGGTCTGCTTCGCTAGCACATTGGCGCACACGATGGAGAAGAGATTGGAGATTGTTTCGGAGCCAGTGCCGATGTCAGTGCCAACGTTTCGGAAAGACAGCTACTTGTTGTGCTACCAAACGTGAGACCCTGTCTGTGATCACCTCCAAGAATTTGGCGTGTGACTTCTGCATGTAGTACACGACGACGTCGGCCATAAGCTGGTGCACCTGCCAAGGGGGATGAGCTTTTGCCCCCCAAATGACGTCTGCCACAGACGAATCTGTGATATTTGGCCATACTACATGACGGAACGAGGCCTGCGGAATAGACACGAAAACGGTTCTCAGGAGTTTAACGTGTTGTGAAGCGAATTGTTGCCATTTGCTCATATTGGTTCAAAGGTTGCACAGTTCAACTTTCGCAGCTGCACATGAGCTTTCGGAGAAATTTGTTCAAGTCTAACTCGCAAGTAGGCCATGGCTACCAAATTTACCCCTAAGCGACGATGACCAAGAATGAAAAAAGTTCAGAAGGAAATTAGAGGTAGCGTTGACAACAAAAGGAGCGTTGGTTGTTCGTAACACAAGCGGTGTTACTACACACTTGACCAGTGCCCCCAAGAAGGTCGGTACGCTATGAGGTGGAAGCATCTGCAAAACTCCCGATACCGCAGGATGGTCTTCTTGAACGACAAATAGCTCGGCCTACAGTAGTAGAGTCACCAGTTCGTGGCGGTGTTGCCGGTGAGCTGAGGGGAGTAATGAGGTAGGTCAATCGCAGGGGCTTGGCCTCGAAAGCACTATGGAAGGTTGAAGAGCATCGAGTACTCCCAGCGTGTATTAATGACGGGTCCTAAGCCACTCTACAAATAGAAGGCTGTCTCACCATGGGTATATCATATTTCTGGGTCACATTTGCGTGCACCTCCGCCATGTTGCTGCCTTGCGGCGGATGGAGGGACGCAAGGCGTGGTGCAATGAAGCTTTCCGCGTATAGGAGCGCCGGCTTACTTGTCATGGCGTTTCTAACATGGCTGATGAATGTTTCGTGGGCCATTTTCACGTCTTCGAGGTCGAAGTGGTCGAGAATCGCATCGTTCACCCCAAAGTCGACGATGACGAGATCCACTTCCACGTCCACCGACAAAACATTCTTGATTGTTTTGTGCAGAAAGTCAATCATTCCTTCGCCCGGTACGGCTTCGTTCACCACCTGGCATGACACACGTTCGCCACATACGATGAGACGTAGAACGTGTCCGCTCCATGCATTTGTTGAAGGGTGGGAGCGACACGGCAAAGAACAGGTTTCCCTCATGTCGAACGAATCATGGTAGTTGTTATTGATGGAGTCAGGCTTCTCGAGCGATGACGAATAGTCACCTGCTCAGCGTAGCGCGCGCAGACGTTGAGGTGGTTTCGAGAGCTGACCCACGTAAACATACCAGCCAAACTATATCAACGCTGTACAACATCATGACAAGGCGCGGCAAACCGTACCTCGACTTTGAAGTCTCCTACTTCTGCCCGGAACCACTGGTCGAGACGATGAGGCCATGCACAGGCATTGTTGGCTAAACCTTTGGGAGATTCGCAGCTACGACCGAATGTTACGCTCCCTCCGATCGCCACAACCTTCAGCACCCCGTTGGCCTTCGCCGTATTGAACGCACGGTGAAGATGAATGCCAGAAGTATTGTACGGTACCGTCCGCTGGAGCATTTCCTGGGTAAGTGGGTACTGCTTCCACACCAGGGGTTCATCGTGGAAGCAGTCAAGCTCATACTCCCCGTGCGTCTCCCAGCACAGAACGTCCGTGCTTGAGGCTACATCGATGTCAGGAATGGCTCCGAACACTCCCGGCAAAGATGACGAGTCCAAGTGTACCCTGTTGGCGGCCAGCATGAAGAATGCCGTCGCCCATACTCTTTCTTTGGTCATCCCAGCGCAGGTCACGAGCCCCTTCCTGCCCTGCGGCAAAAGCAATCCCGCGGAAGCGTTTGGGACCGTGCACTGTGGAGCTCAACCTCGATGTCGAGCAATCCCTGAAGGAGCTTTCTAGTTGGGTGACTTATATGAGAGATCGTGAGAAATACATGCTACATGTCTCATGCTCTCTCACCGGACGAGCATACGACGGTGAGGATGCCTGAAACCGGAGAATAGCTCTCGCCCGTGGCCGTCTGACGGCGCTCGTTCTTCCTGACAGTTTCCTGATGAACGTTGTATCAAGGTGAAAGTTCCAGCCGTCAACGTATACAGCGCATCCGAGGCTTGTTATTTTCGCCAAACACTCTGGTGACCGCCTCACGAACACCATTGTTCTCATAATCCCCCGATGAGAAATCCTCAATTGGTTGCCAGCCTCGTCACTTCTCTCTGTCCATGTTCGACTGATGAACGCTTGACTGCGAACAGTGGCCGTCTCATGGTCGTGATGGTCTTTTTACCTATGGGAGTATGATGAGAAGTCATCGCTCTCCAAAAAGTTATCTCGTTGCCTGCTCATCTGTTTTTTTGGGTTCCAATGCGATAGTCAATAAATACTCTCGCAGACCTCTAAGCGGACTTCAAATAGGCTACAGTCGTGGGCCCTAAATAACGCCAATTGAATAACGCCGGTGATCCTCAACAGCACCGGTAAAATTGCTGGGCACAGACAGAGCCCTCGAAAACGCCAGAATTGAGGGGACCCAGCAATAACGCCGGTTTGGGCATCTCTGCACCCCGCAATAGCGTCGTTTTTTTGGGGCATACACAAGAGCACACACATTGAGGAGGTTACACAACAACGGTAGGGGTACCCCACCCGCCTACGATGACCTGCCGTCTCACTTTGGCGTCCTTGAGCGGGCTGCGGAGGAGTTTGGGAACACAGAGACTGCACGTTGCCTGTCGAAAGCCAGGATGGCTATAATCGCAGCGCATGCCGCGAAGAAAACGCGCCAGACAGACTTGAGGGAGTTTGTTGCGACCGAGGGTGTTGAAGCGGAGTGAGGGGGGGGGAATGACGGCGGGGTGTAGATTTTTCTTCTCTTTCTTTTTTCTGGCATTTGGTCGGTACCGTCTCCGCCCGGTATAGGTTCAGGGTTTGTGTCAGGGTTCGTGTCTGATCTTCTGCATGTCGCACTTCTTTCGCGTCTTTTTTCTTGTCTCGCTACATCAATGTTGATGGAAGGGCAATAGAGTGGTGTTGCACGTTTCTCCTTCACAGCTGATTAAATTGTGTTTGTACGATTCTTTACAACTGTTCCTATTCAATGGTACATTTGGTGCAGAATTATTGTGTCGCAGTTTCGCGATCGTGGAGTCCTTTCTGTAGTTGCAACTTTTCAGGCAGCACAGCGCCCTTTTGTTAGGCAGGAGGATTCGCGTGCTACCACTTGTCTAGACGATCAAGATACTAAACGCGACAGTTCTGCACAAATTCTTCAGTCCAGGAACATATTTTATCCTTTGCAGTCTCACCTACTCACCACTCATTCATTGCTATTGAATTTGTGAACCTCTTGGCTCCGTGAAGCGCAATTGCAGCACCATACGACCCTAAAGCCTCACCAGTACCACAACCGGCGCTGTTGAGGGGTTCTGAGCATTTCCATATCGTCCGTTGTGGCACGATTGATGAGACAGTATTTCAATAGGGCCGGTCGCTCTCAATAGCGCCGGACAACTCGCCGGGCACATGCCGGCGATATTGCTTGCTTACAACTTTACTGCATAGACTACAAGTCCGACGTTTTGCACCCCGCGAAGTCGTCGTGTTGGAGTCTCCAGCCAGCGCGAGGCCAGGGCGAGGTTTCTGCTTGGCCATCCGCGTGGCCTGATGGCTCCATGTGCAGGCCGAACATGGTGCGCTATGTTCAGCAACGCTATGTTTAGCAACGCTACTGCAGCGGTGGTATCTGGTTAGGACTGATGTATCAAGGCCGACTACCCAGCTCCTGACGAACTACTCTTCCAAGTCGTTTGCCTTTCGACCTCTTCACTGCCACAGCTGGATCCAAACACACATCCTGTCGCCACAAACATTGTTCATCTCAATCCGTCATTCAGGAGGCCTTCGAGGGAGCTTGGCCCCATAATGCCAAGCAGAATCCGGTGCATGGTCACAGGTTGTTTGCAGTACTTGTGTGGGATAAGTGTTAGGTGTCTACAAAGTCTGTATCTAGTTTCCATCCAATGATTTACAACATTTGACATTACGAAGCCGGTCACCACGGTGGTCTAGTTGGTACCCTCAAAACCTTCCAGGGGTCAGGTCTGGGGTTCGAATCCCGGCGTAAGCGAGCTTTTCTTGCAAAGTGAGTTTTTTTCTCGCTTCTGCTCCCGGCCTAGTGGATAGCGCTAGTTCGTGTGTACACCGAGGGAAAGGAGAGCTGAACGCTTCTCGCATTAAAAATCGAAGGCAACGTACCGCAGGAGGGGAGGGTAGAGAGGGGCCCTTCTGTGTGACCACGGGTTGGAGTAAAACGGCACAAGTGCTGTGAGCGCTGATTTGAAATGAAGACAAGAAAACAGGAAAAAAAAAGTACGAAGTACCGGGAAAGGTTGTTTTCTGTCATTATGTTGGATTAGAGTATGAGAAAAGAGCCAGCGTCAAAACCTCTATTCTGGGCTCCCTTGATTTCGACAACCGTTCGTGTGCCATGCCCACCAACGTCGTCCTGAAAAGGAGTTTGGGGAGGCCACACACGCGCACATGACGCTATGGCCATGGACGTACACAGTATACTGCCCAACGCAACACTCACGAGATGGCTAAGATGTTTTGGGCAATTTCATGTTTTCCACACATACATACATCCCCGTGTTTTAGGGGTCCCCCGCTTTTACCCCCACATATATGTCTGCGGGCTTAACCCGTGAAGCTGTGTGATCGAGTCAACGGATTCTTTGCACGAGTGGGTCGTTACCATGTGCATGTTGTATCCTTGGGGACGCCATTCCCCAAAGTCTTTGTCCGCCCCCCGGGCTGACGTCTTATCGTCGCTTGGCGAGGACGCTGTCAAGCACGCCGATCTCGCTTCGTGAGGTCCACAACCGCTATTATTGTTTTCATTACTTTTTTCTTTGCGGTAACCATGATGGTGGTTGGGTTTATCATATTGTGCGGGGCGGAGAGTCCTCACTCCGCGCAAAGGGGATGATCGCACCACGTTGTGTAAAGTTCGCCAAGCACCGTCGAGGCCGTTGCACCGTAGCGCTAATCACCGTCTTTGTAAGTGAAAGCACCAGAAAAAAATGATACCATGCGCAGCTGTCATCCGTATGCAAGGAGTACGCACAAGATACCGAACACCCTTGTAGCAGGATGCAGCGCACCCTCTATGCGACTCTCGGCATACCTCACGGCTCTTCGCACTTGGTGATGTGCGAGCCTACAGTAGTCCTGTGAGGACCCGGTGTGCTCCGTCCCGACTCTTGAAACTATTGCTCCACTCCTACGCCTTCTTCCTCAGCGCTGCCGTATTCCGTCTCGCGATCTTCTGTGATTGTGTGCTGCAATCTCAGCTGAATGGGGTTTGCTCAAACGGAAGAGTTCGAACACATTGTATCTTTTGGCAGATCTTGGAGATCAAGGGTACACGGACATACCATGGCGTTTTTTATTTTTTTTTAATTTCTTTCAGTGCTGCACGCCTGACAAAAAAATAAACGCGGCGCAACAAAAAAATATGGTTCAGTGCTAGCAGTGCACGGTTCGTTCGTTCTCCTCCTGCCTCCAGCAGAGTTTGATAGACACGTGCCCCCTTGGCCTAACTTCAGAGTGTGTTGAGGGGCATATTCATACGAGGCAAGCAGTCCCCTTCAGAGTCGCGCGGAAGGAGCCAGCAGCTATTTCCGGCCACGGCTATGCTCCCGCTCGCGGACCAAAATGGATCGAAATGATTTTGACGTTACATTTTGCGGGCCAATTGGTCCACTCGACCGCGGTACATTTGCCGTGCACCCTACATTCAGTTGTTCAGCCCATTTTCCTCTCTACGTATTTCGAGCATGGCTCCCATTGCCCGACGTCGAGGGCGCACCAGAGCTGCTGCAAAGGTGTGCCACCTTTGGTCCATCTCTCTCTCTTGCTGTCTGATGTGTGTGTATGTCACTCGCTTTTCTTTCAATACCGTGTATGGATACAACAAAACAGCAGTCGTATTTGCTCTCTTGTATCGCTTCATCGAACGCAGCACTGAAACTTCAACACACGACTACAGAGCATCAGCGCAAGACCTTTCTTAACCAACAACACGTAAGTTGCACTTATTTCGTAATCACAACCGGGCCGTCTACAATTTTTCTTACATCGTTTCCGTTGCCGCCACGACCACACACCGTTGGACTGTGCCGATATCTTCAATCTTCCTTGTACCATTCTTTACAACGGCGGCAACCTTCGCGTGTTCTTCCTCTCCCATCTATATCTTCGCTGTTGCCACTTGATACCCTACTTTGCATGCAACTCTCCAGCTCTCTCACTACACCCCTTTCTGGGTCGCACGCGATACTTCGTACCTCGCTCACACGCGGACATTCCGCCAGTTCTAGATTTATGTGATCCTAAACAGTATCTATCGCGCCGCATTTTTTCGGTTACCCCATCACATTCTCCGCTGACGCTATGGATTCATTGCTAATTTATATTAGACTCTTTTCTGTTGATAGATATGGATTCGTTGTGCCATATTAAGAAATAATAGACAATAGTGCTTGAGTTACAGTATCTGTCATCCTTCACATCTCTGTCCATCATGTTAGTACGACCGCAATGTCGTGTACAGAAGTTTCGTCTCTCACCTCTACTGTCATTCCTTAGCCCCTACCACTTTTTTTTATGTTGGTTTTGTTCAACACTTGAAAAATCAGAGCTTTCACAACATTCTGGCCTGGTAATGTAGGAGCTCCAATCCGCGGTCACACAGAAGGGTTCCTCCCCCTGAGGCCCCCTATCCACATATAAGTCTTCCATCATGTTAGTACGACCGCAATGTCGTGTACAGAAGTTTCGTCTCTCACCTCTACTGTCATTCCTTAGCCCCTACCACTTTTTTTTTTATGTTGTTTTTGTTCAACACTTGAAAAATCAGAGCTTTCACAACATTCTGGCCTGGTAATGTAGGAGCTCCAATCCGTGGTCACACAGAAGGGTTCCTCCCCCTGAGGCCCCCTATCCACATATAAGTCTTCCTGCGGTGCTTGAAATATGTACATAACCAACACCGAGTTCAGCGGCAGATATGGAAATTGCAACAATTTCCATGGAAGCTGGGATCCCCGTATATTCGCCAGCGCTGGCGGCTTTCTTGCACTCACCAGTCCAACGGTTGTTGGGTT